AATTTGAGAGATTCAGGGATATCCACAGAACTTTAGGGAAGTCAAAATAATTTCAGAGATGTGGAGATAACTCGAGGAATATTGACATTTTAAAGAACTTCCAAGTTCATCAAAGAAGTTAAACTAGAGAGCTTGAGGGAATTTCAGAGATATCAACGGGACTTTCAATAAATTCATTACTTCGAGAAATTCAAGAAATTTCAGACTTTCAGGGAAGTTTGAAGATTTATATGCGCAAGCTCCGAAAAATTCCGGTCAATGCAATAAAATTCAGAAAAACTTCGAGATTTTTTTTGACAGTTCTATTTAGTTCAGGGTAGTACCAAGAACTTCAATAGAATTGAAAGTACTTCTAGAATGGAAAAAAAAAATAAAAAAAAATGAATATATAAATAAATATATAATTAAATAAATAAACTTATTTCATTGGAATTGAAGAATGTTTAAGAAGTTCCAAGAAACTCAAGGAATTTCCGAAACTTCATCAAATTACCAAGACCTTTATTTAAATTTCAGAAAAATAAGAGATTTTGCATGAGCATCAGGAAAATGGGAGATCATTTTAAGGAAGTTCCGTGGTATTTAATGCAGTTTAAAGAAATGAAAAAAAAAAATGCAGGATTTTCAGCGACGATCAGATTATGTTCAAGAAAATTGCGAGATCTTTTAAAATGTTCAGAAATCTTTAAGAACGACTAGAGACCTTCAGAGAAGTAATTCGATTTTTTGGTAGTTTCATTATATTTTGGGAAGTTCCCGGAACTTCGTAGATGATTAGAGATCTTCATATCAGTTTCATTTATTTAAGGAAAATTGCAGGATATTTCACGGAATTCAAAGGAACTGTGAGATATTTAAATAATTTCATAAATTTTACGATGCTTCAGAATCAATGCGAAGTCTTCAGAAAATTTTATAAATATTATTAAAATTTCCGGAACAATTTAAAAAAATAATGAACTCAGAAGAGATTCTAAACCTTAGGGAAGCCTAAATAAAATTAGGATTTGACTACTTTTGTGGATGTTCAAAATCTTCCAGAGAACCACACTGCTATTTGATTGCATATGCTAGCCCCCTTTACGGATGTTCCGAATCTTTTGAAGGACCGTTCATGCAGCATAACAACAAGTTGATTAAAAAATCTAGATCCTTTTTTACCAATTTTCCACATTCATGGATGTTCCGGGTCTTGCTTCGCTATCCCATGGGTCGACATTTTTGTCCTAAATCCAAATTTATTCTTATGAAAAAAAAAAAACGCAGTAGGCTCTGCCCGCGAACGGTTGGTTTTGTTTTCGCTGGCGCAGATTTCATCTGTTTTTCGCATATTTTTTTAATTGTACCAAATCAAACAAATATTAGTTTTCGCGTGTGGATAAGTGTAAATTAAGATCTATCACGTCTTAAGAAGTTTTTTTTAGTGATATTGTAATTAACGTGAAAAATCTGGGACAATAATTTGTTTCGAGTAGCTGTGTGGCTGTGGTGTCGCGTCGGTTGGTTTTTCATTTCTTTTGTTTTTGGTGCTTTGCCTCCCTCCCAAGAAGAGTTTTACCGGGTATTTTTTTTCTTCTTGGTGCTGGTGCTAATTCGGTGCAAATGAAAAATTTCGAATGTGATTCAAAATGTCGTGTTGGGTTGTAAAAACAACGCGGAAGATTTTTTACATTACCGCGAGTAAACAAACCGGTCCTTTTTTGGAGGCAGAATTTGGTGAGATCCATCTGATTTATAATCAATCATAAATGCATATTTCCATATATTACTAAATACGCGCCAGATTTCGAAACATCACATTTTGAAATCTGGAAGTGTGTTAACAGTACCATTATTCATATGATAACGGTAGTGTTTACATGCGGGGCTTATTGTATGTGAAAGTAACCTCGGAATGGACGTGAATTACCAGGCATTCTGAAATGGGTTGCTGAATCTGCAGTAGAGCTATCGCTTTCTAACTCCCGGATTAAACTTGCTTCAAATTATAACATCAAGGATTGTTGTAAGCAAATTTCTTCCATAATACCACTGCCAGCCAGTGGGGGTTAGATTGAATACACACACATACACACACACACACAAATCCAAATTTATTCTTATATCACAATGTTTAAATGAAAAACAAAATAAACATTTCATAGATAGCAACGCTTGGGCCGGTTGCTATCGCGCTGCTATATATGTCAATCCGCTGTTCACCGAGAGGCAGATTGTTATTTCCCGCACTTGAATAGCAACCCCCAGTGCGGTTACTGTGTTATGGTGGAGGTTGCTAAAATAAGGAGGCTAGTTTGGAAAATATCCGGAACATAAAACTTTGGTCACATAACACTGCACACCAGTCCAAGTAGTCGTTGAAAAAAATGTCCATCAAAATGTCCTCTCATACTGCCAACAGAACACTCTCGGAAAAGATCTGTCGTATTGTTCTGACAGGAGTCTCCAAAATCAATCGTTCCAGTAGACATGGTGGGATTCATGTGATCAATACTAATAAAAAAGCTCTTACGAACAAATCCACTAACTACAGGTTGCACGTTAGACGAGTTGACAGCTTACGTCCAGGGCAAAAATGGTAACAAGCATCGAACTGAGGATTTGAAAGTTGCAACTACACAAGCTACGGAGATCTTACTGCAGCGAGGACAATTGATACGATGTTCGGAAGGCACTTTTCAGTCAACTATTCACACCGTCCAAAATGTTACTAACAAGGAATCATCGTTAAGTTTCTTGAGTAACAGCACCAAAGCCAATCCGGACAACGATGAGAATTTCCATCTTGAGCCGGATCGACACCGATCGACCGTACAACATTCGTCTAGTTCCGAGGACATAGATGGGCCAACAATATCTAGGGTTCGACCGAGGACATTGTTGAAAAGAAAAGGAAAAGCTGTAGATTTGCCTCGGCATCGGAAACACCGAAGGCTGCAAGGTGAGGAGGGAAAACCAACGGAGCTACCATCATCGGATGATGAACCTGAGAGGAGCGGTTGTTGTAATCTAGCGAAACCGGGGGTTAATTTTGAAGAGTAGTTATGATTTTTTGGAAGAGATGGACTTTGAAATCGATTTGGAATAAAAGATAAATTATGAGTAAACTTGGAATTGTTTTGTTAATAAAGTCTCAGGTTTTATTTGTGCAGTGAAATGAAAATGAAACTCAAAATGATCGCTCCCACCTGGGAGAACAATAACCGTTTGCCATTAAAACGTGCTCCAGTCTGACTGCAAAAAGTTCCACGTGCCGTTCAAGGTGACTCCTTTCTGGAAGCGGAAAAGGGGTCAGTGTGAGCCGAGCCGGGTGGAGAAATGGTAATGCGCATCCAAGTATACTCAAATCTGTTCACTAAATCATCCTCCAAACGAACGCCTCGCTTGAACAAGTTCTGGTACATCCCACCCCAGCAGCAGCATCATCAGTGGCTTTGGGAAGAGAAAAGAAATTCAATCTTTCCTATCTTAGACAAAGAAGGATGATTTTCACCGGTAAGGCTAAAAAGTTGGCACACGCAAAACCACACTTTGAGCTATCCTTCTGGCAGAGAGCTGATAAACCAGGCCTACATCAATACACAAAGCACAGTTGGTATCTACAAAGCTTAAGCTACGAATTCAGTAGGTTGTATTTCAATTCCCCGGTGGGTGGTGGCACGAAGGACGAACAACAACATCGTACATCCAGAGCAGAGAAACTTTTTCCTTTCAATTTGAGATCATCAATCAAAGAATTATAAAGTTTGTGATCAAATGAACGGGCAAAGAAAACCGAACAGGCTCGATATCCATTTTCGGAACATCCAGCATTCCATCGAGGGCGATGTTGCTGTCTTTTTACGAGCCAGCTGACTTGTCTCAATGCGAATCGTTTCGTTCGAATGCCAAAAATTTGCCTAATTGACGAAGCGTGCTTAATTTGCGATTCAATCTCCAACCGGCAGCGCGCTTGCGATTGATATGAGCGTTTAGGCCGGGCGAAAGTCAAAAACGAATGATTTGGGGATACGGTTTTATGGAGATTGCTAGAGTGGGTGATTTGCCGGAAGAATGCTGTCCTGATGGGAGATTGATCGAGTTCGAAACATCGGCTTGCAATGGTTCCGAGCAAGGTGAACTTGATGGAAACGGTTTGGAGAATTTTGTTTAAAGTTTGGATCAGTTTGGAAAAAAAAATATAAAATGCTTAGTTGAGATTTGAAAATGGTCAAAAGTTGTGTAAATTTCCTTTGTAATTGTGCCAGATTTTCGTTCAATTATGGTGGATGTTGTGATTAATTTTATCAATCGCATTAAAAGGTATGATCAATTTATATGAAAATTGTGACCAGTGCTTACTAAAGCTGTATCCATTTTGCTGAAATAAGAGAAAAATTGTGATCAAATTCGATTAAAGTTCTCTCTTGAAATCCTGTCAATTTTTTTTTTTAAATTATCAACACATTATTGTAAGTTGGGGCAACTTTGTTTGAACGTTTTATCATTTGATTGAAAATTACCTGCAAGTTGTCTACCCTGTTAGATTATTATTCCTATTCGATCCTTGTATGAACCCTTCCCGAAGTTATCCCACTTGGATATTGATTTGGAAAATTCCTCTTCGATGCTCTGGATTTTTATAACAATCTTCTTGGAAGTCGATGTAGAAAAACTTTGTTCTGCCACCATGGCCTACACGCAAAAGAAAAGGGCAATCGCTTGATCCCTCTGTTGATGAAATTCTTTTCAGCAATCAATTTGAAATACACACGGATGATGAGAATGATCAATCATCCAGACAAAATTCCATTAAACATTCCCGGCTTAATGCCAAGAAGGAAAAGGTCCCCCCTATTGTGATAACCACTTCCGATTTCCATGCTCTTTGATTGGAACTTTTTAACTTTGGCCGTCGGGGTGAATGCCGTGTATTAGCTGAAACCTTAGATGGCTTCAAACGTCTTCTCAAATATCTTACTGAAAAGCAACACAAAGTTTTCACTTACGATAGCAAAACT